TTAATGTCACTTTTAGTTAACTGTGGTTAGGAAGGAATTAACTTACCCAGAGACGGTCGTAGTTATTTTGAATGATTGCCGCTGCAAGACTTCTTGTTGGATTCATGCTGGCTCCTGAAATGTGTGCCTAAGTAGAAGTAGAAGGTGTCTACATATTTGGGTAGGAAATAGACTGAGGAGTTAAAGAACAAATTACATTAGCAAAAAAATCGCATTGTCAATAAAATTGAAGGAGCCTCTGCTCTTTCCACTACTCCGTATACCACTTCAGTTATCAAGCTTTCTTCATGTTTTTCACTATCGTGTACCCTCTATCATCAATGCAAAAGATCACCAATCATGGGGCAAAGTAACGGATACTGCCATTCCAAAATGATCGGTTGTTTTGTCCTAATTTGAGTAATTTTATCCAAGTAAATTTACTTCATTTATCGTACTTTCCTATTGCTAATTGCATCTTTAACAAAAAGTTTATCTAAAAAATTTTGATATTAATGGATCCATAAATTGATAAATGGAGTGCTTTCTTATGAAATAACGCTCAATCACAGTGGATGCCATCATGTAACTGAACTAAACTTGACTCTACTGCAGCAATGCTGATTTGAGAAAGTATGAAAGCTTCGGTTGGGATCGGACTTATTCATGTGCAGGTCAAGTATCGTCTAGCCTATTTGTTTGATCAGACTATATTTACACTTTGCTCCGCTAATGCCATGAGATGCGTCTATCACATTGGACCAATGACCTTCACAACCATCGTGGCAAGGTGTTGAAGGGAAGCATCAGGCCTGGTTCAATAATGGTGGTCTATAAATATTGAACATCATTCTACAAGTATCAATTCTCATCTCTCAGCAGACAAGCAAAAAGACGGCTTATGAAAATGAACAAAATCATGTTTTCATTCTCTTTTGCGACATAGAACTCTTAGTGAGATTTCGATTTTGTTAATAATGCTTATGTAGTGAATTGTTGTTATTAATAATCCATGACTTGATAAGCTCATTTAGTTGTAGGAAAAATTTAATTTTCGATAAGGTAATTATAAAAGTAAGAACTGCTACCAATTATTACAATTTGGAATAGAAGTAGATTCCAATATTTGCCCAGAGGAATGCTTTTTCGAACTAACTAACAGACATTCGTTTAAAACAAGCAGGTCTTTCATTTGGAAAGTGGGTTTCATTTCTGGCATATCGAAGTTGCATTAGTCCTTATCAGCAGTTTGTTTTCTACCAATAATAATAAGAAAGGAGTACGATGAAATTCAACATTGGGAATAACGGATTTGACGGAAATGTGAAGACACAGTCATCAAATATATTCCTGTACACAAGGGAATGCAGCACAATAATTATGAAGATATCAACTATAATTGACAAATTAAATTAAACACGACTTGTGGGTTTCATTTACATTGTCGTCTTTTTACAGTTTTGACATTCGACGTTAATCAATTCGTTGCAGTTGAAATTTCTTTCACAGTCAAGGTTTTACGATCACATTTATGGCTACTAATACTTGTTCCACTACTCAACTCTATTTCACGCATTCCAAATTTATAACTTTATGAGTTAGATTTGGCACAAATCGAGTTTATCAGTTGCAATATGCACAAAACGGGTCCAGTTTGAATGAAATTTGATGAGATACAATGGAGAACTTAGGGAGATTGTTTTGCGCCTGTGTTGCGTAATCTTCATTGTGATTGGAGTAACGGTACTAACTTTCAGAAAAGTGGAAATTTTCAGAAAGCCATGTCCTATGTTTGGAGTTTTAGAATGTACAGTTGGAGCTATTGAAGGCCGTTCAAACTTTGGCGATATCGGAAAGGGTGTAAGTTATAAAATACAAAATCATGAATTAATGTCAAACTCGGTTCCTCAAATCCGAAATGTTGTTGCATTTGCATTCAAATTCCAGCCTAACCACTCAATGCATCCTCAATTGTCTTGATCCATGAAACTCTTCAATGGAAAGGAGCATACCTTCGCATCAGAAACTAAATAGAGCCCCGATTTCATGACTAAACTCATCAAATATTAAATTTAACTTAAGTATGATATTTTTATTTGTGAAACGGGTTTGTATTACCTATTTCAGATCATGCCTTTAGATAGGGATTTAAGTCGTGACAACTTTTCTAAATGCAATCTGAACAAACGTAAACAAAACGTAAAAAGTGCGAATGTGTGGTTATAGAAGGCCAAGTAGAATTATTTTAAGTGAAATGGACTTAACTTGACGTATGGAAGCTGAGAAATGCACAGGGTCTTGTATTTGATAGCTGCATTATCTAATCATAAAATTAGTAAATATTTCGCATTTAAACAACATCTATTCATCTACTCTGTCTCGCAATTCATCCACCATTCTCCTCAACAAATGGTAAATTGTTCTCGAATGTCATTTAAAGGCAATTAAAGGTTCATGTGGGTTCACAATTCATAGCCTTTGAGTCCTTAGTTAATCCTAACGAAATGGGTCAATAATGTCAGCAATTGATTTCCAAGATATCAGTAGAAAAATAAAAAAAACGAAATTATTTTTCTGTGAATATGTAGACTTATCTCACCGTAGTTGCCACATTAATTGTGAGCGTTAGCATAACCGCCAGTGGGAATGGCGCACCCTGTTCCGGTCGCCATTCTCGAGCTCTCAATTCATCCAACGAGGCCAAAATGACTGTTATGAGAACAAAAGTTGTCCCCGCTTCTGTCATAGTCGCTGCCAAATCGCTGACGCCTTCTCCTGGTAGAGTCATCCCATATTTTTTCGGTTCTTGATCAGCAAACGGTGTTACAGACCATGCTATTGCCATGGCAACCAGTGTGCCAATGAAATCGGCGATGAGGTAGACAGGTGCTAAGAAGGGAGGTAGACGGCGTGTTATGAGAGCGGCGAGTGTGACTACGGGATTGATCTGAGCACCACTGGTAGTGAAACTGCACCAAACTGCCATGTAGATTGACCCTCCAGCAATGAATCCGGCAACTATTGGTACATTGGGTTCTTTTTTGTCTATTAGAAAGCAGAAGTAATGAGCGACACCAGCGGCCAATGCCTCAGCAAAAAATATTTGGCAAATTTTCCAGTAATCCGTAAAGTGGGGACACTTCATTGTATTCTACTTCTCTAAATTTGCAAATAAAATATCAATTGTGTAAAAAGACGACACCTATATATCAGAGCAAAAATGTGTTCTGAATTCACAAATCCAGGCTACTGGCAAACAGGCCCTGATTTGTTGAAGTTGTATGGTTAAATTTCAAAATAATGTGCATTAAAGTTCAAGAGTGCTATGGACAAAGTTGACCATGAAAGCCAAAGACAAAATATCTAAATGGAGCATAAAGTGATTGAAACCTCCCTTATGAAGTTGAATGGTATGAGGCCAAGCAGATTTGGCAACTATCTGTGGTCTTGTGAGTTCATCACTGAACTACGTGCTGCCATTCATATCACTTTTAGTGAAAGCTGATCTGTGCATGAAATGTGATTTAAAACTACCATTTTTGCAAATAGTTTTTGTAAGTGAAGCCGTCAGACTTCAGTAACTGAATATTGGAATGGCAAGGAGCGAGAACTTATGGGACACCACGGTTCCTTAATTTGCCTTTAGCCATTGTAACACTAATTTTGATGAGTTCGAAGCTCCTATTTCGAGTTAAATAGGACGTTTTAATGAAGGTAGATGCAAGTGAACAGAGCTAGCACGGACAGGGACTCGTTTGACTTTCTGGAGATTCACAAATAAATAACTAATTACACATAAGGAGAATTGAAAAAAAGACATTTGATCTGGTAAAAATTGCCTTCGAGATTCGAACAACAACACAACTAATTACGTACCTTTTCTAAGTAAATCCTTACTAGTTTATATATTTTAATAATTTTTTAAATTCATGACGGAATTATTGTGAGAATTTTGATTGCGCTTACCTGTATAAACTTTTTTGCCGAATACGCGTTCATTGATGTGACAGTAGCGTTTTAAATGATGTACATATTGGCCAATAGGAAGTTGGGTGACCTTAATTTGACCTTAACGATCAGCCTATAGAAATTCAGAGACAACTACCTTTAATCTTGGGTAATGTTGCAATGAATGTTGCCTAAGCCGCATAGTTCAAAATATCCTTTTTCCTGACAAAATTACAAACATATGGTACATGAGTAATTTAACAAATCTATTTTTCACAGACTCTCGAGTGTGCGGCCAAGTTTCCAACTCTCATATTTCATTTGAACTTCCCGATTTCATTGAAAAAAATATTTAAACACCAAAATTAACAAGCAATCGAAGGAAATAAGAAATGTCTTAATTATAAAGGGATGGAACGTTAAGTATGCTTAACAAGTGGATAGAAATCGACAAGCCATCGCAATTGAGTTAGGAAAGGAGTGTACTATGTGTAGCCATGCTGCGTGTCTGGAAGTAAAACAGATAAGAGCATGAAATGGGGTGTTATAGACGACATCAATGAGAGATTATCCAATTCCTGGAATTATCAGATTGTGGTGCAGTTTCTTGGTAAATATGGAACATATCATTGGTGCCCAATATCTCAAGTTTCAGTGTTAGAATCCATTTGGTAGTTATCGAGTGATAACTCAGTTCAGGAGGCTCAGAAAGAGTTTCCAATCCGTCGGATTTGACATGACATAATAGAGACCCTTGAAATGATGTACATGAAGTGTTTCATTATGATCCCGTGATTCTGATCTTCGATTTCATAAACAGTTGAAATGGCAAAGTCTAAACATGATTCCTTCAATTATAGAGAGTCTGATGTATCTGTTAAGAGAATTCAACAGTTCTGCATTTATGAAAACAAATAACAACAAAAAAGTGGAATTAATTCAAATCGAATGCCCTTACCTGAAATGAATTTCAAAGATTGAATTTGTAAATAAAGAAGATCAATGGAGAAATTCGAGAAGAGAATGTTCGAAAACTACTAAGTTAAAATGTGAATTCATAGCTATTATTCAGCCTGATGTAAATATTCCTTCTATTGGTTAGAAATTCTCTTGTTTACGTACTTTAAAAGTCCTCATCCCAAGATCAGTGGCTAGGTTTACAATCGATAAACACTATGCACAGCACCCACTTGGTGTAGTCAAAATTCCAAACCCTTTTGTTTATCAGTTAAAATGTACTTCTATAACTTGAAGTTTAAAGTACACTTTCTTAAACTAACTTTAATACTTTATGCATTAAGCAGGTATTGCATCATGTCCCGTTGTGATGGAATGACAAGTGCTTGTTTGATAGCGCTACTAATAAACACAAATATTTATTTATTTATATCAAATGGTGAGCTTAATGATTATTGTCATTAGCCCTTAGTTGACTTCGAGTTTCACAGAGGGAGGACGTTAGGAACACAAAAAGAGTAAAGACAGTCAGACACAATGGCATAGAGGAATATCAAAGTCACTAAAAATAGAGAGGGGATACTGAAGAGTGATTCACAGATGTAAAAGAGACATTCAGACATAAAGGTAGAGAAGTTGGTGAGGAGAGTACTGTAGAAGTGGTGGAATATGACATAGAGTGGTACATGATGGTTAGAAGTGAGAAATCAACTGACAATTTAAAGACTTTTTTTGCCGTATGAGTAAGCGTTGCCCAGGGTGCACCACGTGGAGGTAAGTCTTCGCACATCCCGTAAATAGAAACATCAATATTTAGACAGCCTTAATTAATAGTGTTATAGACTTGGTGAAATAGATCTCATCCAAACACATAATGTTACCGCTTAATTCTCCAACTGCTGCTTTGGTCGTTGCCCTATTATTCCACTATCCTCTGCATTTGAAGGGCAGTGAAGAAGGGCTCTGGTTAATTGTTAACCCGATTGAAATAAATATGGGAATGTGAGAGCATTAAATTCGGGACAGTCTGTATTTTAAAAGTCCAGTTCCAAAGATTAGTGGGTAATGTCCAAAGGTCAACTGGGTGAACATAAATGTGGCTTAGATAGTTCCGAGATCGTTTCCATAGAAGGGTATTTTGCCGTAGTAATTAATGAAGAAAAGTTAACGCTGATTTGGGTAGCAATCCTCTACAGCCATTTGGTTTAAATAATTTTGCCGATTCTTTTTTTATGAATTTTTTAATATTTATATTAATATTTAAATATTAATTGAAGACATGGAAGAGTCTGAGAAATTACTTCGATTTTTGTTTGTGTACGATTATGGTTTCTTGCCACTTCCAGCAGTTAGCCATTTAATCTCTTTCTGAAATTCGATTTAATCACTTGAGTTTATATGCGACAAAAATGTTTATTACTTACAAATTATTGGCCTGCTATTTTCTACGAACACTTTAGCAAAATTTAATACTTGAAAAGAACAACAGATAAAATTCATTAAAAAAAAATAATTTTAGCATATATTACTGATCAAAATTTTATCAAGACCTTATAAAATTTACTTAGGTTGTTTTTTACTTTTAAAGGAGCCTCTTTTATCAAATTTTGTCCTGTCATTTTTATTATCTTCACTGTCAATATCATGTAAATCAATAGATATTTTATGGATTCTTTGCTAATATTTATAACATTAGTTCATTTATTATTTTGAATAAACTGAATAATCTTACAAAATTGCAGCTTTATGATTAAAAGCTATGTAAAGCAAAATTGAATTATTGGTAATAAAAATTATTTGGAACATTCTATCTCCCAATTGGGTAAACATGCCAGCCTTAAATTTACGTATGTCTCAACTGAAAAAGATGTATTCAATTTACGAAATATTGACATCAAGTGAAATGGTGTACTCAGGTTGTGCTTGATCAATAACAGTGAGCAACACGATTGGGGCCCACAAGTTGTCTTCTACAATCCACAATTCTTAACGAATGAATTGATTACTTTCTTGGCAGTTATTAAATTGTTAATAAGCAATAAAATACAATGATTTGCTATTCTCGAAGTTAAGTAAAGAAGCTAGAGAACGCTTCACGAATCTGAATCGTAGGGATTTCGCCGATCGAATGACTTTGAACAAAAGAGGTGATGTGTTCGTTTTAGCGAAGCCTTAGGACAAATAACCAGTTCGTAGAAGAAGCAGGCGACGACAGATCCAAAAAGTGGTCCGACAAAATAAATCTGCAACAGATAGTTAAATAATCTTTAGTCCTTGTGCTTACATTCATCAAAGTGGATGATATTTGCAGAAAGCAAGTTTACTTTTCTTTCAACATTTCCCATTTTCCTCACTTTTCATAAGAATTATGTAGTTTTGATCACTAGATTACTTAAAGCTTACCCGTTTGATCATAATCTGAAAAGGCTACTTTTGAGCGAATTTATTCGACATTTACCCGAAGTTTCTGTGAAGGCTTCGATGTAGATTTAATTCCAGAATTTTTAGAACGACAAATGGACGGTTTTGAACGTTAGAATAGGGACTTTAAACCATCTTTGTACTAAACCAGAGGCATTGAATATGTGAGAGGTTCCTTTTGATTTATTCACGAATATAATATTGTGCAGTATAATTCACTTCCCTTTGCAAAAATTGTTTTCAATGAGGAGACTATTTACAACCGACAAAATTCCCTTCAAGGAGAGAAGTCAGTTAACAAACGACTACTTGATTAGCTTTAATTTGATTTTATGCTAATTTTGCCATTTGCATTCACCTAGATCTATTCATTAGTCTATTAATTGCGGGGGCATTGATTTTCGCCTTGATACAACATCAAAAATAGTAAATAGCTTTCCGAGCAGATATTTACCATACTAACACAGTGAAATCAGAAAACGAAACGTATGAGCAATTTCCATATGTCGACCATAAGTGAACCAAGCTCTCAATGGTACGTGGGAAACTAAATGAAAGTGACTCAGTCAAAGGTGTCCTTTGTTAAGTCCACTTAATGTACCAATAATATTTTTTTGAATAATGCAATAATAATATAATTGAAAGTACTGAGAAATCAATTGATATCACCGTTTTACAGACAAAACAAAGTGCGTTTCTTGAGTCAATTTATTGTTGAATGTTTGAGTTTCGAAATGATGTAACAATTCTGCTGCACAGGTGAATAACACGGGACTAAAACATTCCCACAATCTTTTTAAAATTCTTATACATCCGAGA